TTACGGGTTATAGGAAATCAGAAAAATGCTGATAATAAGACTTGATTTCTGGCCTTATTCATTAGATTCAATTCAATGGGCATTTAATGGGGGCTTACCAGGCTCCAATATGGGTTAGGGATACAAGAAGAGTAAGACATGCTTCCGGCCTGCTAGAGTTTCAGTCTAGCAGAGGAAAAATACTCATAAGCAAATGCGCTGCCTTGGGAGATGTGCAGCACAGGGCAGGTGGGTCCCGTTTTGTGGGGCTGAAAGATTATGCAATTTGGAGTCCCTTTGAAAGAAAAAGACAATGTTTGAAACCAAAATTAGGCATGGGATCTTGAAAAGCATTCACTAAATGGGGGGCCCTGAAGCATATGTGTTGTCCACTTCACAGTTGATCCACATCTGGAGGGAGGTGACCACGGAGGTGTTACTGGGCTGGGGTAGCTGGGAAAGGGAAGGCAGGGTGGACATGGTTTCACAGCATAGAGTGCTAGGACTTCAGAACCCCGTAAGTTGGATTCTGAGATGATTAGCAGCAAGAGAAAGGTCAGGAGCACAGGAGTACCCAGTCCACTGCCATACACAGAAAAAGCAGAGGCACCCCCAGGGGTTCAGGGAATGGCTTTGAGCTGTCAAATGGTTGGAAAAGCAGGGATGTTGATCAGCAGTGACTTTGGGTGGGTGGGGGTGGGACACTGGGATATTTTATTTACTCAGACCAGGTACGTGTTTCAAATCCCAGAGGTATGGATGGATTTGTAATGTGGCCTTCTAATTTAGTTTTCCAGACATCAGCTATGCATACCCAAGCAAGTATTGAGATATACTTTTTTTTTTTTTTACACAAAAAACAGTAGCATCGTCATACCCTCTGTTCTGCCTCTTGAACTTTCCACTCAACAGGGCATCCAGCAGATTGTTCCATATCAGGATACAAAGTGACTCATCATTCTTGTTCATGACTGCGTAGTATTCCACTGTAGAGCTCTATTCTCATTCATTCAACCTGTCCTCTCTTGCTGCATGCTCAGCTGCCTTCTTCTCTTTTGCTAGAATGCCACTTGCTGCTGGGAGTAGCCTTTTAGAGAGGTCATTTAGCACAAGTGTGAGAATAGATAAATTTCTCACAGAGTTGAAGGCTGTGTGCAATTGTAATTTTGACAGACATTGCCAAATCACCTTCTCACCAGCATGTACAAGAATGTGTGTTTTCCCATACTCTCCAATGTAATATTACACACTATTTTTATCTTTGGTGATCTGAGAGGTAAAAATGTTATCTCAGTGTAACTGCAGTCGTGTTTATCTTATTGCAAGTGAATCTTAGTGTATTTCTATCCAGAGTTGTTCACATTTATTTCACTGAACACTCTCCAGACCCGTCAGCCACATTACTACTGAGTTGTCAGTTTTTTTCTTATGGATTTGTAATCGTTATTTTTCTTCTTCTTTTTTAAATTATATAGTTACTTTCAAAATCACTGTATATTAAAGAAATGAACTCCTTCTGCTGAATTGCTTATATATTTTCCCAGTTTGTTCACTTCCTGGCACATCAAATTGGTCTTTGAAATAATAATAGCATTGGGAAGAATTGAGGGGGCATGTGCCAACACCCACAATTTCCCAGAAGGAAAAAATTGTAAGTAACATGTTACAGGTTTCAACTCTACTTAAAATTTGCCAAGTAAATGATGAAGCATCAGTCTTGGTTTATTAATGTATCTATATGGAAAACCTACTGGGTGCCAGGTGCTGTTCTAGGTGCTGAGGATACAGTGGTGACTGAAACAGTTAAGATCACGCTCTCACGGTCCTGACGTTCCAGTGAGAGGGGCAGGCCATGAATGGGTAAACAGGAAGAGCAATGCCTACAGATGGTGATAAGCCTTGTGAGGGAGATGAAATGGGCTGATAAAGGGAAGCCAGGAGGCTGGCTGGTATAGACTGGATGGTCAAAGAGGGCACCTCTGAGAGGGTGACTTTGTGTTAGGACCCAGGCATAAGTGTCAGAAGTAGAACTGCCCAGTAGAGGGAACAGCATGTGTAAAGGCCCTGAGGCAGGAACAAGCTTGGTACATTTGAAAAAAAAAAAAAAACCGGAAAAAGGGCTGAATGGCTGGAGCATAGCCATGGTGGGAGAGGGCGGTGGGAGATGAGCAGGAAGATGAGCACAGGCCTCAGTATAAATGGACCTGTAGGAAGGTGAGGGGTTTTGTTTGCATTGTTGAGAGCTATGAGAAGCCATTGGACTGTGTCTGTAAGGCGGTTTTGCTTTTTCTTTTGGAAATGTTTAAAAGTAAAAGTAGAGAGAATGATGTCAAGAGCCCCACATACTCTTCAGCAAGCTCAATAGATACCAGTATTTTACCAGTCCTACTGGCAAATAGGATTTCATCTAAACTCTTCATTTTTGGTGGGGGGAGGATTGGATTTTTTTCCTCTCCCTCTTTTCCTACCTCATTCTGCTTTTTTCCCTTTATTTTACTTTATTTTTTACTCACTGCTATGCAAACAAGGATTTTTTTTTTTTTTTTTGAGATGGGGGGTGTCTCACTATGTTGCCCAGGCTGGTATTGAACTCTTGGCCTCAAGCAGTCCTCCTGCCTCAACCACCCATGGTGCTGGGATTATAGGCACACACTGCTGTGTCTGGCCCTGTCTTAAAACATATTTTTTGCACTTCCCCCACCCAACTCTTAAAACATATTTTTATTAAAATATAATAAATATATAAAAGTGCACAAATCATAGGTATACAGCTATGAGCACTCCCATGGAACTGGCACCCAGATCTAGAAACAATGTGGCCAGCCCCCAGAAGCTCCCTGGTGTCACTTTTCAGCCTTTTCTCCCCAAACTTCAGCCATTAGAATCATACAGGTTGTTCGCTGTCAAGACTAGCTCTCTCACTGATTATGTTTGGGAAGTCTATGTTGTGGCATGTAACTGTGACTTGTGGACTGCTCATTCTCATTGCTGTGGCTTCCACTGAAACAGTTTCTTTACCTATTCTACTGTTGTGGGCACTTGAGCTATCTTCAAGTCCTGCATATTTCAAATGGTCCATGTGAACGTTGTAGTACATGTCTTGTGGTAAACATGTACACATTTATGGTGGGTTATATGCAGGAGTGGAGTTGCTGGGTTATAAGGGAGGTATATATTCAGCTTTCTTAGATAGCGCCTGTATTCGTTTGCTAGGGCTGCCAAAACAAAGAACCACAAACTGGGTGACTTGAGAGAAATGTATTGCCTCACAGTTCTGGAGGCTGGAAGTCAGAAATCACGGTGTCAGCAGTTAAGGAAGAATCTGCCCCTTCTGAGGGCCGTGATGGAGAGATCTGTTCCAGGCCTCTCTCCTTGGCTTGTAGGTTATTGTCTTTTCCCTGTGTCTCTCCACATCATCTTCGCTTTACCCTTGTCTATGTCCAAATTTGCCTTTTTTGTTTTTGTTTTTGAGATGGAGTCTCGCTCTTGTTACCCAGGCGGGAGTGCAATGGTGTGATCTTGGGTCACCGCAACCTCCGTTTCCTGGGTTCAGGCAATTCTCCTGCCGCAGCCTCCTGAGTAGCTGGGATTACAGGCACGCGTCACCATGCCCAGCTAATTTTTTGTATTTTTAGTAGAGACGGGGTTTCACCATGTTGACCAGGATGGTCTCGATCTCTTGACCTCGTGATCCACCTGCCTCGGCCTCCCAAAATGCTGAGATTACAGGCTTGAGCCACCGCGCCCGGCCAAATTTGCCTTTTTTATTAAGACACCAGTCATATAGGATTAGAGCCCACCCGAATGACCTCATTTTAACTTGATCCTCTGCCAAAGACCCTATCTCTGAATAAGGTTAATCTCTGAGGTTCTAGAGGTTAGGTTTCCAACGTATCTTTTTGGGGGGGTGGCAGGATGTGCGGGGGCGGGGAGACACAGTGCAACCTATAGCAATGCTGGAGAGCTTCCCAAAGTGGTTGTACTAATTTATACTATTTGCTGGAGTATTTTAAAGCTAATTCCAGACATGATATCATTTGCCTTGGGAATGTTTTTAAGGGAGGAAACACTTGGTCTGGTTTACAATTTTATTTATTTGTTATTTTTTGAGTTGGAGTTTTGCTCATGTTGCCCAGGCTGGAGTGCAATGGTGCAATCTCAGCTCACTGTAACCTCCGCCTCCCAGGTTCAAGTAATTCTCTGCCTCAGCCTCCCAAGTAGCTGAGATTACAGGCCTGTGCCACCAAGATGGGCTAATTTTTTATTTTTAATAGAGACGGGGTTTCTCCATGTTGGTCAGGCTGGTCTCGAACTCCCAACCTCAGATGATCCGCCTGCCTCAGCCTCCTAAAGTGCTGAGATTACAAGCCTGACCCACCGCACCCGGCCTATTTTGTATTTATTTTTTTGAGACAGAGTCTCACTCTGTCACTCAGGTTGGAGTGCAGGGGTGTGATCTCGGCTCACTGCAACCTCTGCCTCCCAAGTTCAAACAATTCTCCTGCCTCAGCCTCCAGAGTAGCTGGGACTACAGCCATGCACCACTACACCCATCTAATTTTGTATTTTTAGTAGAGACGAGGTTTCACCATATTGGCAAGGCTGGTCTGAAACTCTTGGCCTCAGGCGATCTGCTTGCCTTGGCCTCCCAAAGTGCAGGGATTACAGGCATGAGTTACTGCACCCAGCCTGGCTTATATTTTTAAGTGATTCTATTTGTTCTGTGGAAATGTTAAGACAAGGCAAATACTTCATCAAGAAAGAAAAGGTAAATAAAGAATGAGCCCTCCCAGGACTGCCTAGTTGGGACCCTCTGGTACCCCACAGCAGAGAGAAACCTCTGGGTGCCCTTTAGCTCAGGGATGCTGTTCAGAGACTGGGTGGCATCCCTCACTGCCCAGTGCCAGATGGCCATGTGGAGCAGCTTCCTGATTTTAGTCCCTCAGGGTTCAGGTGATGCAGAGACGATGGAACCCGGCTGGGACTCAGGCTGTCTTTCTGTCCACCCCCCTCCCTGCCAGGACATACAGCAGCTCCTCCAGCTCCAGCAGCTGGTGCTTGTGCCAGGCCACCACCTCCAGCCACCTGCTCAGTTTCTGCTGCCGCAGGCCCAGCAGAGCCAGCCAGGTAAGGCCCCCACCCCAGATGGCCTCCCTGATACCTCCACAGAACTTCCTCACTTTCCCCTCCCCTCACCCTGTGCATTTCCCCTTGTCTCTCCAGGCCTGCTACCGACACCAAATCTATTCCAGCTACCTCAGCAAACCCAGGGAGCTCTTCTGACCTCCCAACCCCGGGCCGGGCTTCCCACACAGGTGAGACTGTCCACTGACTGGACCAGGCCAGGCCAGCAGCAAACCTGATGAAAGCTGGGTAAACGAGGGTGGGGGGTGAGAGTCGCCTCTCCAATTGACCTAGCCACACTCTGCCAGTGATTTGCTATGAGACCTCAGGCAAGCCTCTCACCCTCTGGGTCAGCCTCTTCCTGTATAGAATGAGGGGAGCTGGCCCAGATGAGTGGTTCTTAACCCTTTCAGGTATATGGGCTCCTTTGAGAATATGATGAAAGATTTAGATCTGATCCCTATTCCCCCAAAATGCTTATGTGCAAAAATGTGCAAAAACATGCAAAATTGCAGGGGGTTGTGAGCCTTTAGGTTACGAATGCCTCGGGCCTCTTCAAGCACTGCAATGGAGGGTTTTCTGAACAAGGGATTCATTAGGTGATATTTCACATCCACTTCCCAGACTGGAGACTGAAAACAAGGCCCACAGGTGTGTTTTATTTGGCCATTGTCAACTAAATTCCCAGAAAGCACCAGATTTCCAGCTCCTCTTAATAAACCAGAAGATCTGGTAAGACTGTACCCGTGTCTGTGTGGTGGCTTGGTGCAGTGAGCAGTTTCCCTGGCCACTGGCAGGAGCAAAGGCTCCTTAGAGGGGGTCAGCTCTCCAGGCCACCTTGGCGCCTGGACCCCAAAGCCTTTCAGTTTGTTGCCTGAGTTCTAGACTTTAATAATAATTTTCACTACCTTTTATAAATTTCAAAGTTTTTTTCTACCAATTTTTTTATAGCCCTTTAAAAAAATGTATGTGAACTATTTAAGAAGGACTGACTGAAAAGATTAGAGACTAATATAGGTCTTAGCTGCAGTTCTGAAATCCCAAACGCTCTGAAAGTCAAGTTGTTCTTGCACCATTGGTATGAGAACTCATTTGGCTGCAAAATCCGTCCTGCCATGACATAAGGCAGTGTATGACTTTTCTTTGTCCCCCTTGGTGTGGCATTTTTGCTGCTGCAAAACTGTTAACTACTGTATCTGATTATGGAGTAACATCCTTGATTCTGGTGTGGGTGGGAGATAGGCCACATTATCTATGATATACATCCTATATAGGTTTTCTTTCTTTCTTTCTTTCTTTCTTTTTCTTGAGATGGAGTCTCGCTGTGTTACCCAGGTTGTAGTCCAGTGGCTTAATCTCAGCTCACTGCAGCCTCTGCCTTATGGGTTCAAGTGATTCTCCTGCCTTAGCCTCCCATGTCATTGGGATTACAGGCATGTGCCACCACACCCAGCTAAGTTTTGTATTTTTAGTAGAGACGGGGTTTCACCATGTTGGCCAGGCTGGTCTCGAACTCCTGACTTCAGGTGATCCACCTGCCTCAGCCTTCTAAAGTGCCGGGATTACAGGCATGAGCCACCACTCCTGGCGACCTATGTAGGCTTTCTGAAAACTGAAACAAGCACAGTGATGCATGCCTATAGTCTCAGCTACTTGTGAACCTGAGGCAAGAGGATCACTTGAGCCCAGGAGTTTGTGGCCAATCTGGGCAACATAGCGAGACCCGTTCTGTAAAACAACAAAAACAACAAAACCTGAGAGGGGTGAGAGTGGGTGGATGATGAGAAATTACTTAATGGGTACAATGTACGCTGTTTGGGTGATGGATATACTAAAAGCCCAGGCTTCATCACTACACAATACATTTGTGTAACAAAAGTGCATTTGTACCCCTTAAATCTTTTTTTTTATTGTTATTTTGTTTTTGTTTGAGACAGGGTCTTACTCTGTCACCCAGGCTGGAGCGCAGTGGTACAATCACAGCTTACTGCAGCCTCAGCCTCCTGGGCTCAAGCGAAGTGGTCCCCAGCCCCCCTGAGTAGCTAGTAATACAGGCATGACCCACATGCTCAGCTAATTTTTAAAATTTTTGTAGAGATAGGGTTTCGCCATGTTGCCCAGGATGGTCTCAAATTCTTGTGCTCAAGCAGTCCTCCCATCTTGGCTTCCAAAAGTACTGGGATTACAGGCATGAGTCACTGTATCTGGCTTAAGGCTGGCCTTAAATTTATACAATTTTAAAAAGAAAAGGCCAGGTGCAGTGGCTCACACCTGTAATCCCAGCATTTTGGGAGGTTGAGGTGGGCGGATCACCTGAGGTCAGGAGTTTGAGACCCGCCTGACCAAAATGGAGAAACCCTGTCTCTACTAAAAATACAAAATTAGCTGGGCATGGTGGCAGTGCCTGTAATCCCAGCTACTCAGGAGGCTGAGGCAGAAGAATCGCTTGAACCCAGGAGGCGGAGGTTGCGGTAAGCCGAGATCACGCCATTGNAAAAAAAAAAAAAAAACAGAAAAAGTCCTAAACATCTGGCCCCAGCATTTTGGAGAATATTGGATCAAGGACCTAGGTGACAAGACATCCCTACAACTACCACCTGCTTCAGATCTCTTATTTTTAGGGCAATGAAGCATCCCAGATAGAGCTGTTGCTTTTTTTGTAAATCTCCCTAATTGCCCTCTCAGTCCATTTTTTTTTTAAATTTTCAGTTTATTTGCAGTTTACTCATTGCTTAGGACTTAATTTCTTAAGAGCAGTTTTAGATTCACAGCAAAACTGAGTAGAAGATACAGAGATATCCCATATATCTCTCTGCATAGGCACAGCTTCCCGCATTATCTACATCCCTAACCAGAGTGGGACAAGTGTAACAAATGATGAACCTACAATGACACATCACTATTACCCAAAGTTCATAGTTGACATTAGGGTTCACTCTTGGTGTTGTACCATGGATTTGCACGACCTACCTCATTCTCTCAACAGCCTTATTGGTAGACAGAGCAGCAGTGATTGTTCCCATCCTGCACAGGGGGAAAGTGAGGCCTGGGCTAAGCAACGATTTGGTGGCAGGGCCAGTCCTTGATTCCCTGGTTGAGATGACCATGAACCACTGCCTTCGGCTTCAGGGAAGGAGCCCTGGCACAAAAAGCTGGCGGCTCCTTCTGGGAGTTCCCAGGCGTGAAGGGACAATGCAGAATCCCAAGCAATGAGGAAACCCATGTAGGGCAGCAGAGTCGGACCTTGAAAGGGATTGACAGTGCGTGTGAAAGAAGATGGAGGGGAGTCTGCAGGCGGAGGATGGAATGCAGGGGTGAGGAGGGAGGGAGGGGGACTGGGCACCCATCGCTGAGCCCCGTCCTGGTCCTCTGCCCTGCATCCCACCCACCTGCCAACCCCACCAGGCTGTGACCCGCCCCACGCTGCCCGACCCGCACCTCTCGCATCCGCAGCCCCCCAAATGCTTGGAGCCACCATCCCACCCCGAGGAGCCCAGTGATCTGGAGGAGCTGGAGCAGTTTGCCCGCACCTTCAAGCAACGCCGCATCAAGCTGGGCTTCACCCAGGTCTGGAGCCACCTTGCAGGCTGGGCAGTAGGTGTGGGGGCATGGATAGTTGATGGATGCCACGAGGAGCATGGCCAGTCGGTGGGCGCAGTGGGCCTAATGCCGAAAGGCCCTGCCCTGACCTCCGCCCCTTACCCACTCCACTGGCTTAGGGTGATGTGGGCCTGGCCATGGGCAAGCTCTACGGCAACGACTTTAGCCAGACGACCATTTCCCGCTTTGAGGCCCTCAACCTGAGCTTCAAGAACATGTGCAAACTCAAGCCCCTCTTGGAGAAGTGGCTCAACGACGCAGGTGGGATTAGGCTGGGGATCCCATGTGGGGGGCGGGCAGCAGCCGGTGGCCATGGGAGGCGCTCTCTCATGCTCACATATCCCCCGGGGCACAGAGACTATGTCTGTGGACTCAAGCCTGCCCAGCCCCAACCAACTGAGCAGCCCCAGTCTGGGTTTCGATGGGCTGCCTGGCCGTAGACGCAAGAAGAGGACCAGCATTGAGACAAACGTCCGCTTCGCCTTAGAGAAGAGTTTTCTAGCGGTGAGCCCCCCCCAGTCCTGGGTGGCCCTCACCTGAGGGGTGGTGGGCGGTGGGCCCCAGGCTAATGAGCCCTCTGCCTGCAGAACCAGAAGCCTACCTCAGAGGAGATCCTGCTGATCGCCGAGCAGCTGCACATGGAGAAGGAAGTGATCCGCGTCTGGTTCTGCAACCGGCGCCAGAAGGAGAAACGCATCAACCCCTGCAGTGCGGCCCCCATGCTGCCCAGCCCAGGGAAGCCGGCCAGCTACAGCCCCCATATGGTACCAAGAGCCCGTCTAGGGGGTGGGAGACCACAGAGCTCCACAGGCACCTCTGTGAAGCCCACCCTACCTGGTTGTCCACAGAACCTAGAACAGAGACAAAGAGAGCCACTCTTGGGGACAGGCCATCATGTAGACAGGCACAGTCACACAAGGACACAGTTTCCAGGGAACTGTGGTCTTATGTGGGGGATACAAGCACCCCTAGATACACACCTACATAGCCAGACACAGAGTTATCACAGTACCATAGCCACAGAGGGAGGGATGTATGTCCAGGGACGTGGTCCAGGTTGAAACACACAGGCTCACAACCACACAGAGGCAGGGAGAGGCACTTATTTGCCATTGAGGGACACTGTTACACCCATGCTGTCCTCTCAGGTCCACAGCTGCACACAGGCCCACTTGGTATCAGACACAGCTGGGACATCCTTTATCCCATCCCTTTATTTCCATTCCTGGAAAGGGCTGTGATGCTTCAGAGAGGAGCCCCCGCCCCCAGTGGTATGAAGGAGGCACTGTCTGAACTGAGTTCTAAAGGACAAGGGAGAGTTAGCCAGCCACGAGAAGGTGAAGGGCCTTCCAGGACCAGTGTGCACTAAGGCCTAGAAGCCAGGGTGTGCCCAGCCCAATCTGAGGAACTCCAGTGCAAATTTAGTGTGGTTGGTGCTGCAGTTCATATGAATGAGGTTGGGGATGGGGTGGGGGCATGTACCTCAAGTTTTACAGTGAAGAGCTGGAACTTGAACCATGGGTAGTGTGGAGGTAAGGAGGGGTTTTGAGCTGGGGAAGGACAGGGTTACATTTGTGAGGTTTCTGGGGCTGATGCAAAGGTGAGACTGGAGGTGCAGTGGCCAAGAAGGAAGCTGGTGTATGGTCCCAGAAAATCAAGTAATATGACATCTCAACACCCTGATGCAAAGATATGCATCCATTTAGCCTCATACTTTAGACCTGCTCTTTTCCTTGCCTGGGTCACTTTGAACAGTCTCTCCTGCATCACTTGCCAACCCCACTGGTAAAAGAGTGGTGTTTGCTCATCCTGGGAAAAGAGTTTTAGTTTTGTGGAACCAACAGTAGCAAGAGCATGTAGAGCAGCCACTCTTCCAGTGCAGTCACTTCAGACAGGACGCAGCCCTGCAGAGACTAGCCAGGCAGGGCGGTGTCAGAAGAGAGGTGGAGAGTGCTTTCAATGGAGAATTAGCCCTTTCTGCTTGTGGCTCAGGATCAGCTAGGGCAAGTGTGAAGAAGGCACGTGGAATAATACAAACACAGCATTGTGCCAAAGCCCCCTGCTCCCACTGACACACAGAAGTGGGGTCCTGCAGGAAGCATCACAGGGGCTGCTTGCAGACAGTGGCCTAACCATACCTCCTTTCCTCTCTCCCCAGGTCACACCCCAAGGGGGTGCGGGGACCTTACCGTTGTCCCAAGCTTCCAGCAGTCTGAGCACAACAGGTCAGGGAGGGCAGAAGGTGGTGAGGGGGGACTGGGAGGATGAGGCACAGGCTGGAGCCTGAGGTTCCCAAGTGGCTCTGGGTATCAAGACTGGGCCAGGGGAGTATGGGTGGGGGAATGGGAGAGACAGTGGGAAGAGGGCAGGACTCACCCCTCCTCTGCAGGAGCAACTCAGCTTTAATCTGCGTCACAATTTCATATGAGAAAAGCATGGGCGTAGTAAAAGGTGAGGCACTTGGGTTTTGTGCCTGGCCTCTGTCATTCAGAAGCTATGTGAACTCAAGAGCTTACTTTACCTTTCTGGGCCTCAGTTTTTATAAAATTATTATGAATGTGTAATACATACAAAATATATAAATACATGCATGCAAGAGTAAATGTATGTGTATATACGTATACACACACACACACGTGCATACATACATACTCTTGTACCCAGAGTTCTCCTTCCTCTTCCTGGGACACAGCAGGTTTATATATATGGTTATACATTATACTTATATATATATATGAGTAATATAAAATTGGCCAGGTGCAGTGGCTTATGTCTATAATCCCAGCACTTTGGGAGGCCGAGGCACGTGGATCACCTGAGGTCAGGAGTTCAAGACTAGCCTGGCCAACATGGGAAACCCTGTCTCTACTAAAAATACAAAAATTAGCCGGTGTGGTGCCTTGTATCTGTAGTCCCAGCTACTCAGGAGGATGAGGCAGGAGAATTGCTTGAACCTGGGAGGGGGATGTTGCAGTAAACGCTGAGATCATACCACTGCACTCTAGCCTAGGCAACAGGGTGAGATTTCATCTAAAATATATATTTAGCATAACAAACAACATATTGTCCTTCCCCAAGCCAGAAAATAGTAAGTGGAGATTTATAAAGTAGTAAGTGCTTGCCTGGCACTGTACTGAGCACTTTCTAAACTGCATTGACTGACTTAATTCTCAAATTCATTTTATGAGATAGTTTCTATTATCCCCATTTTCCAGACAAGGGATCTGAAGGTCAGAGAGGTTAAGGCACTCCCCCAGGGGCACCCCTAGGACAACACAGAACCAGGAGTTTCTACCCCAGAAGTCTGGCTGAATCTGGGCCCTCAGCCCCTGCTAGGTTGCCCATCCCTCGGCTGTGGCAACGTGCCTGACACCCCTTGCCCCTCCCCAGCCCCTAGAGAGCCGTAGGGCTTTGTCCCCTGGGCACCCCCGTTTCTAGTCAGTATAAAAGTGGTTCAGGGTGGGGAGTGCAGAGTGCCAGGGCTCAGCAGGAAGCAGCTGTTCTGACTTCCATTGTTATGATGGGGTCACCATGGCAGAGGCACAGGGAAATGGCTCTGGGAAGACAGAGCAGGGAGGTCTAAGGCTATTTTGACTGAGGAGATGCTTCATGAGCTACGCGGGAGGACAAGTAGGAATTAACCCCAGGTTCCTCAGTGGGCAATGAGTAGAAGCTGAAGACCTCATCTCTTTGTCTCTCTCTGGCAGTTACTACCTTATCCTCAGCTGTGGGGACGCTCCACCCCAGCCGGACAGCTGGAGGGGGTGGGGGTGGGGGCGGGGCTGCGCCCCCCCTCAATTCCATCCCTTCTGTCACTCCCCCACCCCCGGCCACCACCAACAGCACAAACCCCAGCCCTCAAGGCAGCCACTCAGCTATCGGCTTGTCGGGCCTGAACCCCAGCACGGGGTAAGTGGGTGCAGGTGGGAGGCTGTGGGGAGAAGCAGGGTCGCTGCTGCTTCTGGGGTGGGGAGCTGCACCCCAGTTATGCTGTCAGGTCCCTGCCCCTGCTAATGCCTCTGCTTTGCCTCTTGCAGAAGCACAATGGTGGGGTTGAGCTCCGGGCTGAGTCCAGCCCTCATGAGCAACAACCCTTTGGCCACTATCCAAGGTGCGTGCTGCCTCATGTCACTCCCATTGTCACCAGTCCTATTCTCTGGGGCCTCGAGCCCTGCCATTGCTGCTCCAGCCATGCCATCCCGCCCCTGCTCACTGCATCGCTCGCCTCTTCATACCCATCTCACCTTTGGGGAAGGTGTGAGGGGTGCTGATGGGAGTCAGTGGGACCGATGAGGAGATGGGGGGCGCTCTGGGCAGGATGCTGGAAGGCAAAGGTCTCCCCTGGCCCGGTGTGCCCCCAGCCCAGCCTCTCTCTCTTCCCACCAGCCCTGGCCTCTGGTGGAACCCTGCCCCTTACCAGCCTTGATGGCAGCGGGAACCTGGTGCTGGGGGCAGCTGGCGCCGCCCCGGGGAGCCCCGGCCTGGTGACCTCACCGCTCTTCTTGAACCATGCTGGGCTGCCCCTGCTCAGCACCCCGCCTGGCGTGGGCTTGGTCTCAGCAGCGGCTGCAGCCGTGGCAGCCTCCATCTCCAGCAAGTCTCCTGGCCTCTCCTCCTCATCCTCTTCATCCTCATCCTCCTCCTCCTCCACTTGCAGTGAGGCAGCAGCACAGACCCCTGGAGGCCCAGGGGGACCCGAGGCAGGGTCCAAACCTGAGTGAGGGCCAGCCATGCCTCCCCTCCCACTCCTCTGACCCCCGCCTTGGTCTCTTGCCTGGGAAGAGGGCAAGGAGGCCAGTGGTGGGGACACAGAGGGTCCTCGGAGCAGGAGTGACAAGGGAGGAACAACCAAAAAAACCAACCAACCAAAAAAAAAGAAAGAAACTAACTAACCAACAAAAGAGAAAACCAAAAATAATCACAACAGAAACCAGCTGCCCCAAAGGAACCAGAGGTGAAAAACAAAAAAACCAAAACCAAACCAAACAAAAACAGAAAA